ATTTCTGTCTTCTGGGTTGTTGCGCTGTGTAGTCTGGTCGATGTTTACCAACGTTTCAGAGGTCATATTGCCTCCGTCATCAGGGCGATGAATCGATATCGACCAGACTACACAGCGCAACAACCCAGGAGACAGAAATCTTCATACTCTGATGACGGAGGCAGTATGACCTCTGAAACATTGGTAAACATCGACCAGACTACACAGCGCAACAACCCAGAAGACAGAAATCTTCATGTTACAAATACTTTATATTTTTAAATACATTAAATATACACACGAATATTATTATTTGTTTCAACCTATTTAGGAAACATATTAATAAAATAAAACTTTTACTGTCTTAGAAAATGTTTATTTGGTACTTTAAAAGTCATGCTTTCTTAATATCAGGCATATTAAATGTTCGTAACGAAATGTACGTAATTCCATCGGGTAGCGTACTGAAATAGTGCAAATGTGGTTGTAGGAACCAATTCTACTTGAACCGGATTTATTTTTAAAGTTTAACATTTTAAATATGCGGCATATAATTCAGTAGTAATTATGTTTAACGTTTTATATATATATATATATATTGCCAAAAGTTGCGTATTTGTCGAAGATCTGTTACCGCAAGTCAATTTAGTGGCACGTCCAGTCAATAACAGATTTTATCAAGATGATGTAGCAGGGATTATATGCCTGTCCTATTTGAATATATTCATGTTCCATATCGATTGATCGATTTACATTTCGATCAATCGATATGGAACATGAATGATATTTTATTATCTTAATTATATGAAATTTTAAATAAAAAATTATATTGTGATCAGACGGATTAAAATAAATAATTGATTGAATATATTGTTGTTGAATGTTTTGGAGCAAACATAATTGCTACATCACATCACTAACTGACTTTGGTGGCAATTTATCACAGATCTGTTGCCGACAGAAATAATCAGTAATAGAGACCTATAAATTACATTTTCTACTAAAGTGTTCGACGTACTGATATCTTACACAGACTAATTATAATTGTCTTTGGTATACTGTTAAAATACGCATGTTGTCATGCATGGTTTCAAATGAGAGCTACAGACTTTAATAAGAAGTACATTTTGTATTTAATAACATCATCAATTTGTTAGTCTGATTTGAGCTTTATATAACATAGGAATCATATTTGAACAAAATTTTTTTTTTTAAAAAGGTCAATATAAATTTTCACCCAAATTTATTTTTACTGTATTGTAATCTTCAAATAGTCTTGGTTTTCGGTGCTCAAAACGATTTGACTGAAGTCAGAAGGTGGTAGGTCCGTGCTGAAAACTGAGTGGTAAAGGACTTCAGACCTAAACCGTGCGTGGGCTTTGGACGGGCGTTGTCAAGCTAGAAAATGGCATCTCACGTCGATCGTCCGCGAGTCTTGAATTTCTTAACAGAAGGTAAACCCACTGAATGATGGTTTTAGCCACACTCGCAGCACGCCATCTTCACAGTGTGAGGATGTCCCAGTGACGCAAGAAAACATTCCAATGGCAGACTTCTTAATCTCAATTATATATATTAACTTATGTTATTCCTGCTTTGTAAACATGAAATTTTATCTGATTCTTGGCTGGACTATTCTGACGTGGTTTTATGATTATTCTCAACCCTCCAGGTAGATCATCCTGTGATACTTCCTTCATTTGTTATAAACACACCACTCAAATTCCTTCCCATTTTCATAATTCACATCTGTCCTTGAATTCAACCTCTGTTTCTTACGTACCTGAGAAAACTTGGTTAAGTAATCAAAGACTCAATTATGTGTTTTGAAAGTAAGGTATGCACTTCTGCTGGTTCATTGTTTTTGGTATGACATTTTCTTTTTACTTAAAATTCAACTTTTTATAACTTAACAAGCTTTAGGATGGGGTCTGGTACTATCGTTTCCAATTTTAAATGACGTAATTCCACCTTTCTCATTTCCCATCATTCCATTTACTTAAATAATTTTTTCTATTTTATTTTTTCTTTATTTCTAAACTTTCTTTTAGTGACTGTTCTAATATGTTTTATAATTCCATTATTCTATTAAATTGTCGTGTGTATAAATATGAAGTAAGTTACTTACTTGTATTTCGAAGATTCACCTGCCATAATTTTACCATAACCAAAAGTCACAAGGAGAGCAGACTAAACACATTTGAATTATAAAAATAATTTAGTCAAGATGAATGAATTAAATATATGACCGGTCATGGAATTCACAGATAAATAACTGGAAATGCTATGTTTTTCAAATGCACAACTGAAGAATCTCATTACAAATTATTTATTACTGATCAATTGGTTGGCGACACTGTTTTCACGTTCTTCAAATTAAACTTGTCTAATGTTTTATATATTTCCAGGCTGTTTATTTTACAATATGAATTTTAAAATCGTTAAAAGCCAAAAATATTAAAGTTGCAAACAACTACTGAATTCTGCGAGCAGCTTTACCTCAGAAACACACCCAAAAACAAACACGTGAGTCCAACTGGAACAACAGGGCGGCGGGGGGCATTAACGTCCCCCATGCAGCCAAAAGTCTATCTGCGCAATTTCATAAACAATTTCTTTGTCAAATTCCCATCTTTTTTTTCACTACAAAAATTAATCTTACTCTTGTGTAATTTCCTGCTTAAGCACCGAACTCTCATATAATAATACTTTTATTCCTATTAACTGTTACGTTTATATTAAAATCCTCTGTCACATTTTCATCACATCCCTTTTTGAGAAGCACGTATGAGACATCGTCATTCAGAAAATTTATGTATATATCTAATACTTTGTCTAGATGTTCTGATATTATTCCTACACCATTTCTATCTTCTCCCTCACCATTACAAAAGACTTTATTTCTTAATTTTTTCATTAATTTACAGTGATAATTATGTCTCTTTTGCATACGTCTTTGTTCCTATTCTCAGTCATCGATCGTCTGTCTTGTCTTTCTGAGACTTGGTTGTTTCTTCATAAAAAAAGATTCTAAATCCACTATCAGTTTCTTGGTCTACCACATAACTGTTTGTTCTCGGGGTTATCATCAGCGACTTCGAAGGACCCCAGAGACTAGGTCCCAATTGTCTCGCTCCTGTGATGTGGACATGGAATCAGGCTTTAGGAGGAATGATTATGAACCAGTTATTTAATCTTCGTCATTATCCGCTTCGTATTTTTTTAATAGCATGTAGGAAAGGACTCGTAGTGAGAGAGTTAACAAGGCTTTTATTTATTGACAGATGTTGGCAGAACAACAGAGGAAACTTGATGTTAAGAAAGCCTTTGGGGAGCACATGGAACAAGGACTTATCCAAGGATACACAGAGACATACATGGATTCTGAACCTATTCAGTACCATCAAATGGCTAACCATAAGAGTCTTCCAGTCAGTGGAGACTCTGCTGTCATAACAGAGACAGATTCACAGCAGTGGCTACCATACATGCAGGTAAAGATTTTATACTTTGGGAAGAATATTACATTTTGTAGTAATTTTAAGTAATGAAAATGGTATTAATTTTTTAATGAAGAGAGTAAGCATAATTATGGCATATATCACGTAATCTTTATATTTGGCTGTTTGTTTTATGGTCCCACCTCAGTCTGTCCAAGATTGTACCTTTGAAAGAGCCAATACGTACCCCCATTCCGCATTCAGAATGTTGCTGTTATACCATTGGCAGAAATGCAGTTGTTCAAAATTCACTAAATTACCTGAACTGTGCGTAATTACGACCAGTCACAAAATGTCACCAGGATAACCGAACAAATAAATGCAAACAGAAATTTTGTACAGGTATTCTCCAAAGCAAAAGAAGATTACGAAAAACATGTACTTAATCATCTGCTAATTCATTTCACCACGTAGTAGCTGTTGAATTAGAGAAGAAAGCATGTCAATAATTCTAAAAATCCAATTCACTGGAGATGATGGCAGGACTCCATTCATTAAACCCGTCGCATCGCCAGTAACAATATAAAGGCTCAGCGAGTGTTTGAGACAGGTGTGAAAAGAAAAACCAACATCATCATTTTATTTAAAATTCCAAAATTTTAGAAGAAAAAAAAATGGATGTTCGCAATGAATTGGCCAGCTTATAAATTTAATTTTCGTCATTAAACAACAAATTAAACCTTAGCCACAATGTGAACTGTTAATTCACTTTCCAGTTTCATGACAGTAACACACGTTGCACGTAAAATTTAGCACGATGAAATGTATTTAGAGTGGCTACAAATTTTTACGTGTTTAAGAAATATAAATGAGCCCGGATACCTCAGTCATTATAGTGACTATCTACGGACTGGACGACCGGGGTTCGATCTCCCGACAGGGGCAGAGGATTTTTCATCTAGTCCCTGCGTCCAGACCGGCTCTGGAGCCCACCCAATGGGTACTGGGATCCTTTCCCGGGGGCGTGATGCTGACCACTCACCCCCATCTAATGCCGATGTCCCTTCTCTCCCCCCAAGCGCCTACATGGCGTTTAGTGGGACAGCTGATTTACTTTTGTTTAAGTAATATAAAGTAACTATAAATTAACATTTTTTTCTCAGTTTTATGATATTGTTAGTGAAATGTAACAAAGATAACAGAGGGATATCCCTCCTCCTCCTGATAGAACAGTAAACACCTTTGGTCCATATGAGATTTAACGTTCTCATGGCGTTAAAAATTTTGATTGTGGTCTTCTGTGACACCATGTACCTAAACCTGGAAGACCACAGTTGTCTCTTCGTCTTGAAAGGGTTAATATTATCAACAGAGCAGAGGTTGACTACCAAATATGTTATACGTGAAAGTAACTTTCCTGATTAAGGCAAAGAAGTATTCATCTAATTGTAGTTTAAAAATATTTATTGTAGTGAAATTTTCAGGTCCCTCAACCTGGTTCATCTTACATGATGAGAGGAAATGAAGACGCACGATTGCAGCAAGGTGGCCCTTGGACAGAGTACATGACTGAGACTCGTGGACAGGAAGGTACCTCCTCTTTGCAAACTCATTTGTTTCAGTACTTCGTGTACAAGGAATGTGTGTCACAAACAAACTGAATTAAAAAATGTCCCAGCCCTTCGTAACATCCGTAACAGATGTGGAATATTTTACGCGTCTAGCCCTGATTAGTCGTGGCTAAAGAATATTTTACGCGTCTAGCCCTGATTAGGCGTAGTCATGGCTAAAAATTTGCAGAAGGGTTAATTAACACATGAAGATAAAATGATTGATTGGCAAGAAGACACAGGAATGTCTCAGACTTTACTTTAGGTTCATAAGTTACATGTTTGTAGATCACAGTCTTCTGGATTGTGACACCGTGATATCATCTCTGTCTACCCTGAAAATGGATGTAATACATTCCTCTAAAACGTTGGTAACCATCTAAAAAGTACGTGGTGTCTTAACTCTGAAGACCACAATTCACATTTTCACTTCCTTCATAACCAAAAATCTCCTAAACATAAAAAAGGGAAATCATTATTACGTAGATAATTTTTGGATCACAAAATTTAGCTACAAGTTTGGTGATATCAAAAGGATTAGATTAAAAACATAACATTTTAAGATTAATTATTTGGTATTCCGTCAAATCACAATGTATTTAAAATAAGATAATTAAAATAATTAAAATATCATTCTGTAACTGTTGCAATTGTAAATCGATTATTCGATATGGAACACAGAATGATATTTTAATTATTTTAATTATCTTATTTTAAATACATTGTGATTTGACGGAATAACAAAATAATTTAATTTTAATAATAAATCACAATATGACGCAACTACACTATCTTATAACATTTTAATAATAAAAAAATAAAAATTTGTGAGTGTGTCTTAATGGGACTGAGTCAAATTTAGGCTGTAGATCCGGTCTGTGGAAAGTCGTACTTGTAATAAAAGTCAAATTCGTCCTCGCTGCTGAACTGATACCACAATAAAATATTTTCAGTTCCGCCTTATCCTCTAAGGCAGCAAATGATGAATGGATCCTATGGGAATTGTACACAAAGCCAGCAATTTGCCGAAACACCAGGCGGCATGCATCAAGCGATGGTAAACCACAATGACAGAGGTGTTGGCAGCAATGGTGGTGGTACCACGGAGAGAATTCTCCCGCACCAATACGTGTACCACCAACAACAACCCGAGAGCACCTCTGCTCTCGTTCACAACATGGTAATTAAGGAGGAAATGAATGTAAGTAATTTTTCAAAAACAGAAAAAAAAAATTCACGAGTTTTTCAAAATTAAATATGTTCATTAATATTATTTCCTGTTCCGAAATTCTTTCACAGCAAAACCACTGACAGTCTATTTTATCCAAAACAGAATTTGTATCGTTACATCCGAAATTAAAACGTGTGCAACCCCCCCTCCCCCCCCAAAAAAGGAATCGAGGTTCAACTTCATTCCGAGTCAGTGAACACGTCGAGACACCCAAGAAATTTACTAATTACTGCCCAGTTATTATATTTTTTGTGATCTAGCGGTTAGAACGCTGACTTTGTAATCCTGGGGTCTCGGGTTCGATTCCCGGCGGTGCCCGAATTTATAACTTGTGTTGGGCAATGCCGTGGTCTAGGCAACACGGAGTTTTCCTCCGTGGCATCCCAACAATTACTCCATTCACACACAGAAGAAGGCAATGGCAAACCACTTCTGGATCATCTGCCAAGAACGTATATGAACAGGTCCCAGTCCGAGAAAAGGATGGAAGGATCCTGTTCATATGGACCTGTCGTCAGACAGAACACTAAATAAATAAATAAAAATCTGTAAATGCTCGCTTTTGCACACGTGTACATGGCAGTAATATATTAAAAATATGTGATGCGAATATAACTGAAATACATCTTGTGTCAACTGGATTTGTATAAAAATGATTTTTCTCATGGTTGTATTGCCACGTAGTCTCGAGGCACAGCAGACAGCCATTTTGTTACTAGCCACGGTGAGAACTTGAATTCGTACTCAATTTCGTACAAATTTAAAGATCAGCTCTGGTCTATTAGCTTACAAGAAATTACTATTATATTGAAATTTAATATCAATACTTTAATTTACGTGAAATTTGTTTGATTGGTTGCGTGTCCAAGCTACAGTCCAAAAATCCACCATTTCTTGAATTTACAGGGACAAGACGAAATGCGTATACTAGAAATGATCCCCATTTCTTCAGAAAATAGCGTCTCAACTATTCCTATAACTACGTTATCAGCTGGAACCACAACAATAACAAGTCAGACTGCCTACAATGCCGGGAACAATCAACAGACTGTCTCCTCCTCAAACAAAACCGGAAAGAATTCTCCGGCATCCGAGACGCCGCCAAACACGACGGAAATCTCGGGCGCGCTGAGTGACATTTCTAATGTTGCCGGTGGAGTAGAAGACTCGAGCGTTCCCTTACCGGCATTTGAACAAGCTTTTGGTTCTACGGAAATCGGGCGTTATTCTCACGAGGGATTTTTCAATACCACTCAACAGCCCGAAAATAATCCGCAGTCCACTAACAATCAGGTTAGTATAAACTCGGCTCTGGATTACAACTATTACATGGGTCCGGCGCAGATCCCCACTTTCGAATCGACGATGCATTACCATCAGAATCAGCTTCAAGGCGTCAACCAGTACTCAGGGTTCTACAATTATTACAATTACAATTACAATGAGCTCCATCAGCATTTCAGCTACGGCCATAATCGATTCTCACATCTTAATTCGTGGGCCAGTTCTCCTATAAAATACGAAAATGTTTTAAATTATTAAAAAAAAATTCATCAGATATCGTAGAGATCTAATACAGAGTTCAGTCACAAATTAATTTTTCTTCATTATTAAGAAACATTTTCATCCCGTTTGGATAAAAACATAAAAAAATGTGACGAGGTTTTGCCTGAAAATGTTTGATAAGTGTTATGTTTGTTCAAAGAAGCCGGTGGGACATATTAGTGTTGAATATAAGATTTACCATTTATATGCATTACTGTCATTATAAAATGACACTAACTATCTCGTAAGCCAGTGGCTCCAGATTAAGTTCCCTGATAGTTATCGAATGCCTTCATCCATTGGTCCCTTTCAATAAACTGTATGCATAATTCCCTTAGGTAGAGGTCGCGCGAGTAGTGGTGGCACTTAAATGCGCGAGAGAGGGGAGTTCACTAGTAGTGGGGGTAGCAAAGCCTGAGCTGCGGTGACGCGCCGAACTAAACACAGCGAGAGCTACAAAACAAATGAAGCTGACACCCCTCTAGCGCGTGCTTCGGACGGGTCCATCTCACACGACCAAAATCAGTCCTTTGCGCATGCGCCAGCACTTCTCGCGCGACCTCTACATACATATATATGTTACCAAGAGGCAAGTTGCTGTACTGTGTATCCTAGATTTGTAAGTATTGTGATGATTTTATAACTAAATCATAAAATAAAAATTTAGCGTCATAAACAACATACATTTTAACTATAAATAGAAGTAAAAAGTAAAGACAGTAATTTAAATTCTAGAAGCTAAAATTTTGAAAACAATTTTGTAGGAAAATTTGACAAAAAAAAATGTGCCTTCAAGATAAGGGACTGGAAGTAAGGAAATTTCATAATTCTAAAAAAGGAACAGTTTGTTGTCTCAGTTATGAATAAGTCAATCAATCGCAAATTATCACATTCCCACATATCCAGTCAAAAGAAGTGATAATCAAAACCCTAGTCATGTAATAGTTAAACATTTTGAGAGAAACTGAATTAATTAAATACTTTTAAAATAATATTTTTGGGGACCAATTTCAAAACATAAACAGTTGTAGCACCTACTTGCAACATTAAAAAAAATTCATGAAAGCATTAATCTATGTAAATGGTGTAGTAAAATGTGGCATATTATACGATGTTTACGAGAAAAATCAAAATGGTGATTTAACTGTACAGTTAAGAAGTATGTGAACATTTGAGCACATGATGATTTTGTACATGTATAATTAATTACACATAATTGTTTATAGAACTGGCTTTAAAATGGTCCTTTCGAGCATCATTTCAATACATACTTTAATTTTCAATGGCTCTGTTCAAAAAAACATATTACAAATTGAAGAACCGAGATTTTGAATCATTTTGGTGCAATCACATCGGACGCATCGAAAATTTTATCTAACAGTAGTATTTCGAAAGTAAGATAACTAACCCTTAACATTTCGTAAAATAAAAGACAGAATAAAGTATAAACTGAAAATGCAATGGCGCTCCACCGAGTTTTGAGCAGATTCATGAACCTTTTTTGTTTCAAACATAAATTAGGTATATTAAACTCATTTAAAATTTGGTATCCACATCTAGAAATATGTATTACACAATAAAAGAACCTGGCAAGGTAAATATATGTATATAATACGTGAGATATGAGGTAGTAATTGCCAAAGTAAGGTTATGTATGAACCACAGAAAACAGGACATTTTGTTCACAGATAATATCCCTTGCTTAATTGTGACACCAGACACACATTTTCATTCAGGATGACAACTGTGACAAAAAGTCCCTATTCAGTCAAGTGCTCTGCACACTTCTTTTTTTTTTACACAGGTAAGAAAAAATATGAGCATCGATTAACAATGGAGACATAAGAAATCATACAAGGTTTAGAATCAAGTGACTTCTTATTATTACTTTGTAATCATTCTACTTCTAAAATATACCAAACTTAACCTCTAATGGCAAATACATTTGTAGTTCAGATCTTTAAATAATTTCCCTCACCGAGAAATCTCACTGTGTCATCGATATGTTCTGGGATTCATTACTACAAATTCTCCTGTTCTGTCTAGTTAAATAATAACATAATTGCCACCTGCATAGATCTTTATTAAAATAAATACGACATGAGTACATTTCAAGTAAAAACACTCAATATATGTTTCGTCATATACCACGTATTTATTATATAAATTTACCACGCCAGGATTCTATTATCAAAAATAAGTACAACTTCACATCAGATGTAAATAATTTGTGGTAGTTTACGTAATCAGTACAGGGTGGTTAAAAAACCTGTTTTCTAGCATTGATATCGGACTGTATCATTCAGTCACGTCCGTAATTGACGTATATAACCTAACCTAACCGCCATAAAGTCACTTTAAAATAGGCAAGAAACCATTCTCGTGCTTTGACTAAGAAGGAACAGATCTTAGTCAAAAGTGTCGTTTAATTATGCTGGAAGGAAATTAAGACATTACTAAATAAGTTATATTCTTTAACAAATATCGCCAACATTTTTATAATTTATGTGCATTTCAGCTGACATTACGTCACATTAACTTACGATTAAACCATTAACCCCAGAGTTAAAAGTCTCGGGTTCAAATCCCCTGTTTTCATCTGATAAAGATTCTCGATGACTCTGAAGTAACTTTCATTTATCAATATCTCGTGAACGTGAGGTCTTGGAAGTTCTGCATTCCTATTGATCTGTAAATTGACATTTATTTTGGGTGAGCATCAGAATATGAAGATGAATCTTCCAGGTTGTTCTGCCATGTTGTCTGGTAGAAGTTTACGAGTGTTTCAAAGGTTCTTGCTGTCTTCATCATCAGGGTGAAGGCCCTGATGATGGAGACAGCAAGTACCTCTGAAATGTCAGTAAACTTCTACCGGGCTGCACGGTACGAATTTGAATACATACTTTAATTTTCGATGGCTCTGTTCAAAAAAACATATTACAAATTGAAGAACCGAGATTTTGAATCATTTTGGTGCAATCACATCGGACGCATCGAAAATTTTATCTAACAGTAGTATTTCGAAAGTAAGATAACTAACCCTTAACATTTCGTAAAATAAAAGACAGAATAAAGTATAAACTGAAAATGCAATGGCGCTCCACCGAGTTTTGAGCAGATTCATGAACCTTTTTTGTTTCAAACATAAATTAGGTATATTAAACTCATTTAAAATTTGGTATCCACATCTAGAAATATGTATTACACAATAAAAGAACCTGGCAAGGTAAATATATGTATATAATACGTGAGATATGAGGTAGTAATTGCCAAAGTAAGGTTATGTATGAACCACAGAAAACAGGACATTTTGTTCACAGATAATATCCCTTGCTTAATTGTGACACCAGACACACATTTTCATTCAGGATGACAACTGTGACAAAAAGTCCCTATTCAGTCAAGTGCTCTGCACACTTCTTTTTTTTTTACACAGGTAAGAAAAAATATGAGCATCGATTAACAATGGAGACATAAGAAATCATACAAGGTTTAGAATCAAGTGACTTCTTATTATTACTTTGTAATCATTCTACTTCTAAAATATACCAAACTTAACCTCTAATGGCAAATACATTTGTAGTTCAGATCTTTAAATAATTTCCCTCACCGAGAAATCTCACTGTGTCATCGATATGTTCTGGGATTCATTACTACAAATTCTCCTGTTCTGTCTAGTTAAATAATAACATAATTGCCACCTGCATAGATCTTTATTAAAATAAATACGACATGAGTACATTTCAAGTAAAAACACTCAATATATGTTTCGTCATATACCACGTATTTATTATATAAATTTACCACGCCAGGATTCTATTATCAAAAATAAGTACAACTTCACATCAGATGTAAATAATTTGTGGTAGTTTACGTAATCAGTACAGGGTGGTTAAAAAACCTGTTTTCTAGCATTGATATCGGACTGTATCATTCAGTCACGTCCGTAATTGACGTATATAACCTAACCTAACCGCCATAAAGTCACTTTAAAATAGGCAAGAAACCATTCTCGTGCTTTGACTAAGAAGGAACAGATCTTAGTCAAAAGTGTCGTTTAATTATGCTGGAAGGAAATTAAGACATTACTAAATAAGTTATATTCTTTAACAAATATCGCCAACATTTTTATAATTTATGTGCATTTCAGCTGACATTACGTCACATTAACTTACGATTAAACCATTAACCCCAGAGTTAAAAGTCTCGGGTTCAAATCCCCTGTTTTCATCTGATAAAGATTCTCGATGACTCTGAAGTAACTTTCATTTATCAATATCTCGTGAACGTGAGGTCTTGGAAGTTCTGCATTCCTATTGATCTGTAAATTGACATTTATTTTGGGTGAGCATCAGAATATGAAGATGAATCTTCCAGGTTGTTCTGCCATGTTGTCTGGTAGAAGTTTACGAGTGTTTCAAAGGTTCTTGCTGTCTTCATCATCAGGGTGAAGGCCCTGATGATGGAGACAGCAAGTACCTCTGAAATGTCAGTAAACTTCTACCGGGCTGCACGGTACGACAGCCCAGAAGACAGAAATCTTCGACATTTATTTTGTTTCTGATAAAACTACAAAATCAATTTACGTAATTTGAATGTGTAATTCTCAGTTTTTAATGGTAAAGAATTATTCTTTATTTTATCTTACGAGTCTCTTCCAGATTTGAAATGTCAGGTTGAGTTAAGGAACTGTCCATTTTGTTGAGTAACCACTATAGAAACAAGTTTCTAAATAATTATTTTAAATGTTCATTATCATTACGTATTTTGGAACGATAAAAAAGTGTAAACTTCCAGTTCCCGGACTGCTGTCTGTAAATTAAAGTGGTCCCCAAAGCAAAGATGTTATCCCCGTTTTATTAGGATATTTAGTACGAAAAACGATATGTATATTTGCATTCCCTGCATTTGGAATTTCATGTTAGTAACAACACACGTAATGTGTATCAGTGTACGAATATTTTAGTATCCAATTTTAATAATATTATACATTATTTAAGACATCGGAACGTGAATCAAACAGAATATTATTTCATACTGGAGTAAGAATTCAGAGATTTATTTGTGCTCGAAAATAAGACATTTACAAAATCAAAACTGTTTTTTAAATTCATTTTGTTATGTTTCTGACTGTTACGACGTGTTTATTGTGTTGACTGTCAGAAAGAAAGGAATATTATAATGGCATACGAATACAATCGTTACACCAGGATTTAGCGAAAAATTCCATAGTGCAGTATCTTTTATGAAACGAGATAAATTTAAAATCTTATGATTAACATTCTACTTGCTCAAAGATATCTCTGAATTTTGGTAAATATAGCTGCTTCTTAAGAATCGGAAATTGTTAAAATAAATGTTCTCCCATTATAATTTATAAGTTAATTAATCGACATAATTAATTTCTCTTGAGTGTTTAAACTAACAAAAACCAATATTTCTGTCTTCTGGATTTTTGCGCTGTGTAGTCTGGTAGATGTTTACCGACGTTTCGGAGGTCACACTGCCTCCGCGATCGCCCTGATGACGGAGGCAGTGTGACCTCTGAAACGTCGGTAAACTTCTACCAGACTACACAGCGCAAAAAACCAGAAGACAGAAATCCTCATATTTAATTTCCCTAACTTAAAACAGTTGTGAGGAGTAATAGAATGTGTATGAAACAT